GTGGTCCTGTAATAACCATGTGAATCACCTGGCGTAGTCTATTAGCTAAAATCTTTGCAATGATTTTATAAAGACTGCCAATAAGACTAATAGGCCGAATATCCTTGATATCTGCAATAACATATTTCTTTGAGATTAAAGCAATAAAAATAGAACTCATGGCAATATTAATTTTACCCCTCCAATAAAATTCTTCCAATAATTGAATAATATCATCTTTCAAAATATCCCAAAAATATTGAAAAAACACCATTGGGTATCTATCCGGGCCAGGAGCCTTATCTCTGCCTAAGCCAAAGACTGCATCTCTGATTTCTTGCTCTTCAAATTTTCTCTCCAACCACTGCGCTTGGTTTAACGGCAACCTATTGAAAGGTAGATCTTGAATGGATAGTTGAATCTCACTATCGGCCTCGTAAGACTTCTTGAAATGATCAACCAGGGCCCTTTCAATCTCTGACATGTTGTCACAACCTACTCCTTCAGTACGAAGGCTTTGAATTGAGTTATCCTTTTTTTTTGCATTAGCAATAGCATGGAAAAATCTTGTGTTTTTATCACCCTCCTTAAGTCATTTCACCCGAGATCTTTGTCTCCAATTAATTTCTTCCAAATTAAGCAATTGTTTATATGTAGCCACCTATAAGCTTTTGTCTTTTAATTAATCATATGTTAGAGCACCTCCCATAAATTGAACATTATCTAACTCCTCTATATGAGACTTTACTGCCCTGATTTTAGATTGTAAATTTCTCCAAACATTCATCTTCCATGTAATAATCCTTTGTTCTAATAGTTGGAGCTTTTTTGAAATTTGGAAACCTTTCCAACCATCAATGGTAGTATTTTTCCAAAAATCTTCAATCAAGCCGAGTAAAGATCTCTCTGATAGCCATGCTAATTCAAATCTAAATTGGGATGGTCCAAACAATAAACCATCAGTGTTAGGGAGAAGAGGGACATGATCAAAAGAGATTTTAGGTAGAGCTTTCACACTTATTTTTTGGAAAACGAGTAACAGACTCAGAAGAAACAAGATCCTGTCTAACCTTGTCAAAATAGGATCTTGTAAATTATGATTGGACCAGCTATAGTTAAGCCCAATAGAAAGAAGATCAATCAATTCATTGTGTTGTATAAAACTTTCAAATAATCTCATACAGGAAGACATAGAAGGAGAAGATGAAGATTCAATTGGCCATCTAATAATATTAAAGTCACCAGACACCAACCAAGGCACATTCAAATTTAACTGAATATTTGTTAGTTCGTAGAAAAACAAGCAGATCTATCAACAGTTCTGTTAGGTCCATATACCACAGATAAGCACCAAGAAAAACTATCTAGCCACTTAAAAATAATGGAAATGTGTCTACTTGAAAGAAAGTTTTGTGAAGCATTCAAAACTAAAGGACCCAAATACCTCCAAAAGAACCAGAAGCATCTACTCCCAAAAACTCCAGGGATCTATTTCCCCAAACCAATATGCCATTACGAAGAGTCGGGGCCTCCAATTTAGTTTCCTGGGGAAACAAGATATCATGCATTTCTTTTCTGCAAAAGGAAAGAACATCTATCTTGCGTTGAGCACTATTGAGGCCCTTGACATTCCAACATAGCACTTTCATAGAGACTGGTAACCATCTCTATGTTTGGTAACCCTTGAAGGACCACCAAGCATAGGCAGCGAAGGTTCAGAATGTGCACGTGCACGAGGACAAGCACTTACCTTACCGTGGTCATAGTTAATATGACATACCAAATTGTCAAGTTCTCTTTGAAACCTTCCTTTCTTCTTGAACTTTTGATTTTTGTTCCCAACAGGCTTTTCCTCTAGTTCCTTTCTATGCTTCTCTTTCAGGGTATATGTAATGGCGTCAAGAGAGTCACCATAACACACATTAATTGCATCCAAAACTGTACTAACTTCCAAAGGTCGGATCACTAAGGACATGTCATCATTGACATTATCATAATCATCATATCCTTCAAAATTATCTACTATAGGAATTTCATCATCAACATCATCACTCGGTGGTCTCATAGCAATAGGAGGAACTATAAGAGGTTCTTCCAACTCATGTTCTTTGAGGCCTCGACTATTCCCCTTCTTATGCGTCTTTAACTGCTTGGAAGCAACGCTCCCAAATAGGCTCTTCTACTGCATCTTTTCTTTTTCAGATTTCCTCTCTATACTCGCATCAAAGAAAGAGCCAGCTTGAAACTCAGCAATGGTGTTCTTTTAGGTTACTTATGGGATGAGAGCTTCTTTTGGAAGCTGCAGAATTTTCTTATATTTAATGGAAGTTTGTGGGAAGGAATTAATTGGGCACTCATCCGAACATCTAAAGGGAAACTTTCCAAAAGCTTCAAACCGATTATGACAAGTAATGTCATTGTTTTCCAATACAGACGCTTTTTGGCAAGGAATTTCCATAGAAGATTTTTTTGGAATGTTTCCATCAAATTTAACAACTCATTTTTTAATGATATGTTTCCCTTTGAGAGATGATGTGGCAACGTAAGAATGGCCTGAATTTGTCCTCCCATGAAATTTCCGGCGATGATATTGGTTGTCAATTTTTGAAACTCCATTGTTGCAGCTTGAGACCGACAATAATGGCTTTTGGGAACCATCATCCTTATTAACATTTTTCTCACCAGTCATAAGAGACTTCAAGGAATCCTCCCTTCTGAATTCGAATCTCTTTAAATACAAGTTTAAAATCAAAGCCTCATAAATTTAGGATACCCTATTTAAGATGATTTATACTTTTAGTTTCAACCAGGAAAACAAGAGCATGATAGCTGGTTAAATTCCAATCAATCTTGATCAGCCACCCACATAGATTTGCTACCTCTTTAAAAACTTCAGAGGACCAGGCAATGATTGGAATACTAGAAACCGCAAACCATGACGATTTTGGTTTGATCAATGAGGCTTTTAAGGCAGGGGCCCATCTTTCTGCGACCAAATCAGCCCCCCGGAAGCGCCAAATTCTTTGATTAATTACTTTAGTAGCTTCCTCACAAGAACCCAGAAAACAAATAACTTTACCTCCTGGAATCGAGCAACACAAACTTGGGGTCTTAGTCCAAGTTTTATCAACCCATTCATGGAACATCTGTACTTCCAAAAATCTCTCCTTGAAAGTCACGATCATTGCTGATTGAATTCTCTTTTCTCGTTTTTTAATGATATCATCTCGAACCAATATAGTAGGGTTCCTATGGAGATGAGAACTCGAAGGAGAACATAAATCCCCAACATAGGAAACGTCGCCTTTCTGCATCTTCTTCTCAGAATGCGCCTTACACAACTCTTCATCATTCTACCACCCAATTACTGCCGTCACCACACCACCACTTCGTAGCTACTATTACTGTATTACTGACTTGTCCTGTGTGAAGACATCAAGCCACAAACTTTTCTTAATTGATTGACCCTCGTTCTCACTCGCTCCAAAGGAGCGAGTCGGGGTCAATTAGCTTTCTTCTTTTTGAGCTTTGATCACTGAGCCTGCCCTAATCAATCTGCAATTCACTGAGCCTGAATCACCACATCAAGAATGGAGAAGCATGAACTCATCCAACGCTACAACCTTTATTCCTATGCGAGAGCATCCCCATCCCTCTGCCCTCTGCCCTCTGCGAGTTACCAATTCCTCTGCCCTCTGCAAGCCCTCGAACCCTCCCAAATTCCAAATCTCTTTCTTTGTCTCTCCTTGAACAAGATGGAACTAAGATCTCACGCCTTTGTCAATCCTCCCAAATTCCAAAACTCTTTTCTCTGTAAATCGGGATAGAGAGGAGTCCCGCTTGTAGAGGCCTTTGAAGTGGCTTTGCAGCCTGTAATTTTACCCCTTGAGAGAAAAACCCATTGCCAATATGCAAGCCAACCAAACCCCTGGCCTCCTGTCTCAGTCTTAGCCACAGCCTCTACTCTGCAACTCTCGGAGGTCCAGTCCTAGCCTCTGCACTGCAACCCACTGCAAACCCTCGCTGCCCTTCAAAATCCACAGCTTTGAAACCCACTCCAAACCCTCGCTGCCCTTCAAAACCCACAGCTTTTCAACCCACTCCAAACCCTCGCTGCACTGCAAACCCTCTCGTTGCCCTTCAAAACCCACAGCTCTACAACCCACTCCAAACCCTCGCTGCCCTGCAAACCCTCTGCAGCCCACGCTGCAACCCAGTCCAAACCCTCAGCAAACCACTGCAAACCCTCTCTCTCACACACACTCTCTCAAAAACACAACAAACGAAATTACAGAGCACCATTTCATCAGAAATAGAGAGCGAGAGAGAGCACTTACATGGGCGATGCAAAGACCAGAATCGAAATGGATGACAAAGGCAAATACATATACATCTCTCCCGAGGAAATGAAAGCAGTTGCAGATTACATAAAGAGGCAACACAGGGTTAGCATTTCTCATCTGGCTTCCAAATCAAATCAGTTCATTGATCTGGAACCAAAAGTGGACCACATCGAAAATGTACTTGTTCATGCAAATGGAACAATCATTGAATGTTCTTGATGTAAAAGCATGTGCATGCTACAGAAAAAGGAATGCTGTTATGACATAAAAGTAGCAGCACCACTTTTTTTATTACCATAATTACAGCCATGACAAATGATGTAATAGAAAAATGGAATGATTTTTATTGATATGAAAGTAACACACCACTTTGTTATTTTGATTACAACAGAGCATGACAAACAGTACAATATACCACACTTAAGCTTTCCTGGTCACAATGAATAAGAAAGTCTCATGCATCCACACATTTGTCTCATCCATAGGGATAGAAGGGAAATCTCTTTACGAGTAGCCCAATTACTCCACTGATCTATGATTTCACAAAATGTGTTAACACAAAAAATAAGTTACACCTAGATTGGCTTATTGGATTGCAGGATTCTAAACTCATGCTCCCCTGAATCTCAATGCTGATGGCAAACATTTATCTTTTACAGTGGACCATGACAAATGATGTAATAGAAAAATGGAATGATTTTTATTGGTATGAAAGCAACACCACTTTGTGTATCTTGATTACATCAGAGCATGACAAACAATACAATATACTACACTTAAGCTTTCCTGGTTACAATGAATGCGAAAGTCTCATGCATCCACATATTTCTTATTCATAGGGGTAGATGAGAAATATCTTCACCAGTAGCCCAATTACTCCACTGACCACTGATTTCGCAAAACATGTCACATAAAATAACATACACCTAGGTTGGCTTATTGGATTGCAGGATTCTAAACTCATGCTCCCCTGAATCTCAACATTGATGGCGAACATTTATACTTTACAATGTATATAGAGAGCGATCTGCCTCTATCATACATGGGAGCAGCAATAGCCATCTTAGTGGTGGAACTGTGCTTCCATAGCTACGTCTTCTTAGCCTGAAATATTGAGAAATAGAAAACCTTGGTTTTCGATTATGAGAAAATGAAAGTGAAGGAAAATACCGAGATATGCACCTTTTTAAGATATTTCTTATGAATCTTCATTGCTCCACTGCATGCTTTCTTGGCATCCAGATTTCCAGTAATGTCATTCAAAATCTGCTTGTTGATCAAAGCAAAAGATTGGGGAAGTTGGTGACTGGATCCCCACAACCCTACTACTACTACATTCAAAATAAAACAAAGTGAGTTTTGGTACCTTGACCACATCATCTATCCCCCTTGCCTCATGCAACAGTTTCGAGCTTTTGGCCTTGAGCACACTGGCAACCAGGAAAACTGATATGGGGAGGTTTTCTTGGTTCTTTGGCCCATTCCTCATGTTCTCTCGCTCAAATTTCCCACACTGACTTATCGACTTCAGTCTTGCGTGAACCTCATTATTCTTTTCATTACCCAAGACCGGCTCTTCGTACAAAAAGAAAATTTCTGGGTCATATTCCAATGCCCACATCATCTGAAACAAGGATAAAAAAACTTCAAGTAAAGACAAAGCCTTTAGGGAGTCCTTAATGCAAATCATAAGATCAACCATGTTGAATAAAAGCCCTTGAATGGGACAAAATAATGATGATGAAGGAATTGTAATTACAGGTTGAAAGGTCCTATGTCTGCTTTTACGTACCTCCCAAAGGTACAGGGAATCTCCAAATGAGAACTCTCTACGGAACAACACCATCAGCATACGGAAGGCAAATAAATAGTCACCACCACCCAGTGTCTCTGCACTCAACTAGTGTTAGCTCTGTTTTTGCACAACAAACTACAAGAAATAGATACGCTGGACTTTGTGAAGCTCTATTGTTTTCCTAAATGAGTGTTATAGAAGTTAGACTGGTGACCCATTGGTTCCGATCTAGCTTGGTTGATTTAGTGATCCAGATTGGACTCAGCCGATTCAGTGATCCAAATTGGTGACTCAGCCGATTCACGATCCAGAATGGTAAGTCTTGGGATGCATGTTTGCATCCCAAAAACACATAATAAAAAGAAAAATAATAATAACTTGAAAAAAAATGAAAATCTAAAGAACATATTACAATGAAATATTATTTAGAACATGCATTAACTATTGCAGATTTATAGATTGAACATAACACTCCACAAAAGCCTAATGAAATCTAGCAAAAAAGAAATGACTTGTATGATTATTTTTTAAAAATCGAAAAGGGTTTTTTTCAGGAAAATAACATGCGATCAGCAATTGAAAATCTAGAAAAATATTGTTTTAAATCATGCAGCACTTTTGTAGATTGAAGTTCTATGTACAACACGAAACCTAATGAATTCTGGGATTAAAAAATGAAATATATGATTTTTGTTTTTCAAAATCTGAAGGCTTTTTCAAAGTCCGCTAAAACTTTTGATGCTAATCTCTTCGATCACAGGTTTTGATCGGATAAAGAAGTGCTATAGATCTGTTAGAGAGCTCCAAATTGGAGTTTTTGACACAATTCGTCATTTTGTTGAGACAATCCAGAATAATCAAAGAAATGATGGAGCAGGGGTTTTGAGCTCAAAATGGCAAGTGTCTCGATTTCTTGCCAAAAATCTATTCTGATTCTAAAATATTTTTTACGTATTGTAAATCGATGAGAGATGAACGATTTGTGATAAATTTGAGAGGATTTGATGAAGAACAAATAGAGAAATTGAATTTCTAATTTTTTATTTTGTAAAGCAAATAAAATAAAAGGTGAACCACCCATCTGTTCGAGTCTAGTATTTGACATTCTAATATTTCATAAGCTCAAAGAATGATATGTGTGTTTTAAACACCTGAACCTCTTATTTAAAGGTTTAATCACTTACGCTATCCATGGAAATTATTTGAGATTCTAATATTGTGAGGAGAAGGTATAACTATGATGCAAGCTCAAACATGAGGAGGTCAAAATGTTACCCAAGTGTTGATGAAGTTTTGGATCAATAACTTGGGTAATTGATGCTAGATTGTGAAGTTGAGTCTCGACTCCAACTGAGCTCTCTGTGCATCTGAAATTCCCTCGCTTTAAATTTTCAGATAAACAATGCAAAATTATAAGCAACTTCAGATTAACAAGACTGATAAATGATAATGCATACAAAGAATGAAGCATCCTATCAAATGGAAACATTCCAAATGGTAGCTTTCAGTGAATCCGTAAGTCTCATAAACATAGAAACATAAGAAATCAGATTTAATCCAATGCAAATTACATTAAAATCTTCCAACAACAAACCAAAATAGATCAACAGAAGAATGAAAAAAGATAGTTACACAACATTCATATCGACTTCAAATATTTTGTTCATATTCATCCAAAGTTCCACAGCTCGTGGAAGTATCCGGTGTTAAAGTTCTGAAGGATAATAATATTGAAGTGGAATAACCATGCTAACCAATTCAAGTATGAGTGGTGCTTCAAAAATTATATTTTACTTAATATAAAACAATAGGTGCTAATAAGTACCCTAGGCATCTAGCTACCATTTTTTATCGTGTTCTTCATATGTGAAGGCCGCTTCGAGTCGGCTTCCATCATACTTGTTGGGAGGCTAAAACGAAGGCGAAATTTTTAGTTAAGGAGGGTGCCTCCTCTTTGGGAAGCCCCTTTTACATTGACCTCTCCCACGCTATTTTTTGACAAATATGGATTGTCTCTCTTTTGCTGTCTTTTCTCTCGCCCTTCCCCCCGAACCCCCTTTTTTCTTTTTCCTTCTGCTGCTCATCTTTTTTGCAGGTGAACCGGGACTACTACACTTTAAGCACCCAATCTGTGGGTAGCCTCTCTATTCTCTCTTTCTTATTGCTAAGCACCCGATCTGGGGGTCGCACCCCCTCCCCCCTCTTTCTAATTATTTTTTGGTATAGCGTGCATTCTCTCCAGGTGTTTCCGCCGCCCCATTCTTGCCATTGTATACTTTTGTACAGTGCACCTGCACCTGTTTCGGTGTTCTGCCCTTGTAGGGGAAACTACTCTCTGTCCTCTCACCTTTCCTCTCCACACTCCTGCTCTTTTCCTCTCTCCTCCCTCCCTTCTACTACTACTCTTCCCTCAACTCTCTCTATCCTCGAGCCTTTCTATTTCTCCTCTTTCTTGGTATTCTTTTGTGTCATTTTTTGGTAAATTTTTTGTAATCAAGCATCCAGTTTGTGGGTGCCATCCCACTTCTTGTGAACATTTTTTTAGTACCTAAAATTCATTTCAGTAACATACTGCCAATATCATCAAATAAATAGGTGCTTGGGTTAAAGACAATAAAACTCATGACCAAGTGCAAGTCAAAAAAAGCATATAAAGTAGTCTACATATGGACAATGAAAAGCTATACATTCCAGCAGACATCAAAATTTGACTTCTAACAGAGAACTATGCTTCAATTACATTACTAAATTACTGGAAATAGATGTTATGCAAAAAAGAGAGCTCTTTTTGCATCAGTTCTCGCTCATAAAATGATTATTCTTTATCCTAGCATTTATTCCCCTTTCCACAACTCATAACCATAGATGCATATTCAAATTGAAAAATCAAAACCTTTTAGCACTAATTGATGAAGTAGATCCTTTCTACAACACGCACTTGTCGTGATTTGCAGTTTTAGGTACCGCTTGATCCAATCTCAAATGAAAAGTACTAAGGAAAAAGTCCTTATTGAGAAATAGAAACAGAACAAAAAACAATGCCAGTAACATGGCTAAACTTCCTTAAATTTTATATACTTGCGGTGAAAGATGATACCTAGAGGATCCAATGGGCTCCCCAGGAAATTCTCGGCAGTCTATGGCCCTAATTCCGACTCCACAAGGAGTTTGTTTTGGCAAGAACTCGACTCTATTGCAGCGCACCACCCAGTGGTGCCCTGGCAAAGACTTCAATGTCCATAGATGGTCCTACGAGACAAGTAACTCCTCCAGAGTCACTCTGGCAATGATGCAATTTGCCGATTTCAAAGCCTGCCAGGAACTCCTAGACATCCCTCTTCAGGGGGCATTGTTCACATGGTCGAACCACTCTAGCTCCTCCCCTGCCTTTTCGAAACTTGATCAGTTTCTTTGTAGCCCCGATTGGGACTCTACCTTCCCCAACACGCACTCTCGAGCTCTTCCCAAGACTACCACAGACCATAAACCTCTCTTGCTTGACGCTTTGCCTATCTCTGGGGGGCCTAGACCATTCGGTTTCAAATTGGAGTGGCTCGAAGAGCCTGGGCTCTCGTCTCTCCTTCTTGCCTGGTGGTCATCCTTCTCCCCCATGGCCTGGGGTTGTGCAGGTTATAGACTCCAGAAAAGCTCCTCCTAAAAACTTCAATTATAAATGGGAGCGCCTTCTTCTAGGCAATTTCCAAACCCAAAAACAGTCCCTCAATTATATTCATAACCTCGACTCATCGAAGAGTCCCGCCCTCTCACTGAAAATGAATCCCTTCTTCGATTCCAATCCAAGACCAACTACCACAACACGCTTCAGAAAGAAGAGTTCGTTTTGGGTTTAGAGGTCCAAGGTCAAATGGCTCAAAAGGGAGGACCTCAATACCGCCTTTTTCCATAGAATCGCCAATTGTAGGAGGGACAATACTATATCCCATAGTTACTCCCAAGGGGTCTCCATTAACCAACCTCCACTGATAGAGAGGACCAACATTGACTATTTTCAGAACCTCTTTCAGACACCTGCTAGACCCACCCCTCAGATGTCCGATCTCACCTTTCTTTCCATTATCCCTAAACAAGCTTCATGGCTCAAGCGTCCTTTTACTAAGGCCGAAATTCTCTCGGCTGTTAACAATCTCGGCCAAGACCGTGCCCCAAGCCCAGACGATTTCCCCATGGCCCTTTTCAAGTGCTTCTGGGACGGCATCTGCCCAGACTTCCTCTCTTTCTTTGCCGAGTTCCATGACTGAGGCATCATCCACAAAGGAATGAATGCCAACTTTTTAGCCCTGATACCAAAGGTGGATGGTGCCGAGGACCTCAAAGATTTTAAACCCATTAACTTAATCAACAGTTCCTACAAAATCCTAGCCAAGGTCCTCGCCGCCAAGCTCAAAACAGTCTTGACTTCGGTTATTTCCCCTTATGAAAGTGCCTTTGTCAAGGATTGCCAGATTCTTGATGAGCTTTAATAGCCCATGAAGGCATCCACTCCAGGACTAACTCCAAATCCCCAGGTCTAGTCATCAAGTTGGATTGGAAAAAGGTGTATGACCATGTCGACTGGCCAATCTTAGATGAGACCAAGCGCAGGATGGTATTCGGCTCTCAATGGAGAAAGTGGATCCAAGGGTGCATACACCATCCTCATTTTTTCATTCTCATTAATGGCTCCCCTAAGGGTTTTTCCCTTCTTCTAAGGGTCTCAAACAAGGAGACCTCTATCCCCCTCTCCCTTAGCGATCGCAGTTGAAGTGTTTAGCAGATCCATCTTCAGACTATACCAACATGGCTTAGTGGAAGGCTTCAAAATCAGTGGCAATGATCCCATTATCTCCCACCTTTAGAATGCTGACGACACATTTCTATTATATGATGCCTCGGCAAATCAACTGGATACCTTTCTCCTGTTCCTTAATTGTTTTCACTTCACTACAAGCTTTAATGTCACCATGGCAAAATCCAAATGATAGGGATTGCCTTAGACCCCCTTTCTACCCAAGACATTACCAACAGGTGGGGTTGTGGGATTGACTCTTTTCCTTCCACATATCTAGGCCTTCCCCTATGCCACATTAAACCCAAGAAAGCTCAATGGAGCCACATCATTGACAATTGGAAAGAAAATTGGCCACTTGGAAGGGTCGATTCCTCTCTCCGGTGGGAGAAACACCCTCATCAAGTCCACCCTCTCTAACATCCTCATCTACCAAATGTCACTCTTCCACATTCCCGCCTCAGTGGTCCAACGCCTTGAACTCCTCATGCGCAACTTCCTTTGGTCGAGGAACAAAGAAGCTAAGAAATTTCACCTCATTTTGTGAAAGTCAGCCAACCCAGAGCGTCCGGGGGCTTGGGGATCCGTAACCTTCACAAGCATAACCCTGTTGGGCAAATGGTGGTGGAGGCTTGCGATCTTTGGCACCACGTCTTAAGTCACTAGTATTGCCTTCTCTCCTCTCCCTGGTCTCTCCCTGATAGGCCATCCCATGCCTCTTCTGGTGTTTGGAAATCCCTGCATCATGGCCTCCACCTCTTTAAACTTTCATTTGCTTCCACCCCAGGGAAGGGACGAGGGTCATGTAATGACCCCAAAACACTTTTTGAAACTGAAAAATAATAATAATAATAATAATAATAATAATAATAATAATAATAATAATAATAATAATAATAATAATAATAATAATAATAATAATAATAATAATAATAATAATAATAATAATAATAACAATAATAATAATAATAATAATAATAATAATAATAATAAACAATAAATAAAATAATAATAAACAACTTAAATAGTGATAGTTCATTGTAATATGAATGCACCATGGGACCACCCTAAATTCCTTTTCACGTTTATTTAATTAAATTAAGATAATTAAATACAAAGTGATGTATAATTATGAGGTGATAATGTGTCATTATAAAGTGATAATGTGTCACAAGGTGGCATGATAGGGTGGTGATGTGTCATGAGGTGGCACATATATATGAGGAAAAAGGACACATGTTTGACATGTGTCAAATGAAAATTGACCCTCTCACTTATAAATACCCCTCATTGACCCATAATTAATACATCATAAATGGGTCTTCTCTCTCCTCTCAAATGTAAGCTTGTCTTCTCTCTCGTAAACGATTTTTTTACAATTATTTTTCTCTCTTCCATGATTATTCTCATAATATGTTCATAATGATAGCCTCATTAGCCTTTCATTCTCTCTCTCTTTCTCTCTCATAATACTAGTAAAATGATTTCTTCATAATGATAGCCTCATTAGCTTTTCATTCTCTCTCTTTCTCTCCCATAATATTAGTAAAATGATATCTTCATGATGATAGCCTCATTAGGTTTTCATTCTCTCTCTCTTCTCTCTCATAATATTAGTAAAATGATATCTTCATAATGATAGCCTCATTTTTTTCTTATTCTCATAAGAATAATACTCTTATAAAATTTAATATTTTCTCTCTTCAATGAATTTCATACTCTCTCTCTCATAATATCAGTATGATAGTAAAATAATATGTTCATTATTAGTATGACAGTAAAATAACATTAGTATGATAGTATAATATGTTCATTATTTTCTCTCTCATAACATTTGTATGATAGTAAAATAATATGTTCATTATGAGTATGACAGTAAAATAATATTAGTATGATAGTAAAATATGTTCATTATTTTCTCTCTCTCATAATATTAGTATGATAGTAAAATAATATGTTCATTATTAGTATGATAGTACAATTATATTAGTATGATAATAAAATATGTTCCTCTCTCTCTCTCATAATATTAGTTTGATAGCAAAATAATACTCGTATGATAGTAAAATGTGTTCATTATTTTCTCTCTTTCTTTCTTCAACAAATTTCATACTCTCTCTCTCATAATATTAGTATGATAGTAAAATAATATGTTCATGATAGTATAATAATATTAGTATAATAGTAGAATATGTTCATTATTTTCTCTCTCTCTTCAACGAATTTCATTCTCTCTCTCATAAGCATAGAATATTTTCTCTTTCCCTTATAATATAAACATTTTTTTTATACTCTCTTTCTCTATATAACTCATTTGGTCTCTCTTCCCATACCTTTAACTGAACGTCAATAATCCCAGTCTTACTCTAGCAGCAATAACAACATATCCATCTTAGAGTAACGTATAGGTAAGTGACCATCTATCATTATGAATTTTACACATTATAAGTTATAGGAAAAATTACATATATATCCGTTATAGTTTCCGTTATTACGGTTCTACCGAATAGTTTCCATTATTACCACCGTGTCCGTCTTTTTCATATCAAAACAGAACTTTAAAAAAAGACGACTTTACCCTTTTTTGATGGTTGAACAACCGAATTCAAAGTATTTTCAGTGGTTCAACAACCGAAAATACACCAATTTCGGTTCTTGAAGAACCGAAAATTTAAAATTTTCGGTTGTTGAAGAACAAAAAATTTTAAATTTTCTGTTCTTCAAGAACCGAAAAATGTTTTCTCTCTCTTGTGGTGTATTTTCTCTACCTCTTTGAAGTCATAGTTATCCAATAAAATCAAAGGAGAACAACTAGTTTGAGCCCCGAAATTTAGGAGAAATCTTAAGGATTATGAGACTAGAAGATTAGGAGAAATCTCGTGGCGTATTCTCTCTCTACCTCTTTGAAGTCATGGTTATCCAATAAAATCAGGGGGAACAGCTAGTTTGAGCCCCTAAATTTAGGAGAAATCTCAAGGATTATGAACTTACCCAAAAAAAAAAAAGACGATGGGTGAAGGGGAGAGAGAGAGTTAAAAAAAAAAAACAATTTTTACCCATAGAGAGAGAGGTAGAGAGACGATACGCAGCCCACGAGAAAAAAAAATTTGGTTCTTGAAGAACCGAAATTTTTAAATTTTTGGTTATTCAAAAACCGAAAGTGGCCCCATTTTCGGTTGTTCAACAACCGAAAAAGGGTAGAGTTATCTTTTTTTAAAATATCTGTTTTGACATGAAAAAAAGAGACACAATTGTAATAACAGAAACTATTTGGTATAGCCGTAATAACAGAAACTATAGCAGATATGTATGTAATTTTCCCTAAGTTTTATGTGTAAGTGATCTCATTTTTCTGTAAAATAGTTATATGAAAATTGGTATTTTCGATTTTAATAAAATCGTGATATTCACGCCTATTGTTATGAATTTTAGATACTGTAAGTTTTATATGCAAGTGACATGATTTTCCTGAAAAAGGGTTATTTTAAAATTGGTAATTCGACATTTAATAGTAATATTTATGTCTATTATTGAGGATTGCAGATAGTTGAAAATTTATTATTCAACTCTGGATTTCCATAAGATTCTTCTACTGTTCATAAATTGTTTATTAATTAAGATTTCAATTTTTAAAAACTGACTCCCATAACTGTTACCTTTCTGAAACTGTACTTAAGAAATTGAGCCCAAAATGTTTAAAGAAATATCAGTGAAAGTGTTTTCATGTGAATTCATGCTATGATTTCAAGGATATTTTTAATATATTATATTATTGTTTGTTAATATTTTAGAGTTTTAGAGATATTTTAAGTACACAAGTTGACTCATCCAGTATGCCGGTGAAGTATAAGTGGACCTATTCGAGACGCCGGTAAGGATTAAGTGGACCTATCCGAAATGCTGGTAGGAATTAAGTGGACCTATTCGGTACGTTGGTAAGGATTGAGTGGACTCATCCGGTACGCCAGTGAGGTATAAGTGGACCTATCCGGTACGCAGGCATGGATTAAGTGGACCCATCTAAGACGCTGGTAGGGTATATAGGTGACCTACTTGTGACATTGGTAGGGTATTTGTGAAATCTTTTCAATTATGATAAACTGTGTATTTCTGCTTTTCCTCATTGTTCAAAATCTTTTGAATTATGTTAAAACTGTGTATTTCTGTTTAAGAATTTGAACAGTTCTCCATTTGTTTAAATATACACTCATTTAGAAAAACCATGATTCTTAATGATTATAATGGTTACTTACTGAGAAGCCAAACTCATCAAACTATTGTGGATTCTTTTCAGAATAATTGTAACCTTATTGTTCGTATGTACAGCAGGAGTAGCTTGGAAGAAGTTTATAGTCAGGTTAAATTCACCTTTGTAACTTTTGTTCAAGTTCACCTTAGTAACTTTTGTCCTATCAAAAGATGTATATATCTAGGACTTTCATGTTACTATAAGTTATGAGTAGACTTTGTAAAAATTTGAAAATTTTAAGAAAAGGAAAAATCAGTTTTCGTGCAATATATAGTAGAAATTCTGAATTTGTTCTATAGTTTAAGAATAGACAGTCACATCTTAGAAATATCATAGAACTTGGGGTGTGACAGGTCAAGTTTTGGACAGACCTCTAGTTAGGTCATCTTCCACTCTCGCAATGTTCCCCCAATCTCTTCGACTTAGCTAGGGACCCCAGTGCCTTCATCGCTGATCTACTCAAGCCAGTTGGGAACACCTGGAATCCTGAATTTCGCAAGGCTCTACACGGCGAAGAGATCCCTACCTTCCTCAAACTCTCCTCCCTTCTCCATTCCGCTTCTTTCTCTTCTCTTGATGAGGATAAAATAATATGGATCCCAGTTTCTTCTGGGATCTTTTTAGTATCCTCCTCCTTTCACTACCTTATCTCCCCCTTTACTATACAGCCCTCGCGATAGTCGATTATTGCTCAAGCTTGGATTAAATTTATTCCTCCTAGACTACAGGTCTTTAATTGGGTCGGGCCCAGGGAAAGAGTCCTTACCATGGACCAACTCCAATGAAAAGTCCTGCAAATCCCTAACAGATGCGCTATGTGCCTATTGGAGGAGGAAACAAACTCCCACTTATTCATCCACTGCACATTTGCAAGCCAGCTTGGGGGCACTTGCTTCAACTATTTGGCTGGTCGTGGGTCACCCCGGAATCAATTCCACACCTTTTCCAACAAATACTATTCCTACCATGGTCCAAATCACTTGCTATGCTTTGGACTACAGCAGTGATGGCCACACTCTAGTCGATGGAAGAACACTCACCGTCAAAAAGTGTTGGAATCTCTCAAGTCCATGGTGATCTTCTGGGCCACCAACCACAACCACTTCAAGCTTCTCTCAGCCTCTGACTTTCACCTCAATTGGACCACCATCCTCCCTCACAGGCCTAGGTCGTTCTTCCCATTGGAGACCCCCGGACGAGGGCCGTACCAAAATTAATTTCAACGGATGCTCCCTTGGTAACTTTGACCCGGCAGGCATCGGGGGCATCTTTAGAAACCGCATGGGTCTCTTCCTGCTTACCTTCACCTCACCCATCGGCATTGCGGATTCCACCTTGGTGGAAGCTCGCACCCTTCTAGAAGGCCTCAAACGCTTCAACCCTTCATGGAGTGTTGTTTTGGTTGTAGAGGGTGACTCAAGAAATGTAATCTCCTTGGCCTCTCGAGAGGCTGCCCCACCTTGGAGGCTTTTAACCATCTTTGATGAGATTTACGACATTTACAAGAATATACCGGTCTCATGGATGCATACCTGGAGGGAGGCCAACCAAGCGGCCAACACTCTGGCTAAGCAAGGCGCTTCAATGGCATTGACCTAATCTATGATGTTACGCATCTTACACTTTGTACTACAATCTCTCTTTTCTGTATTTAATGTATTCGTTTAGTGCCACATCCTCGGTGGCTGTTTTGTGGCTCAGAAGTGGGCAGTTTTTGTATACTGTGAACTCTTATACTTAATAAAATGTTTAACAGTTCAAAAAAAAAAAACAGATTTATCATTCAACATGGATGCATACTGCATGATGAATCTGCAGTACAGCTTTACTGAAATTTCTCAATTCTTGAATCTGCAACCTTCATGTGCATTCCAAACTAATTCTACTCATGAAATGTAAAGAGAATCAAAGTCTCTTTCTTTTCTCTTCCATTGAAAGGAGAACCATGGGCATTATAAGTTATCCCAAATATACAAGAGCCAGAAATTCCCTTATTCATAGGGTTGTATTAAATGTAATAAACAAGATAACAAAGGAGTAATATACGATTCAAGTACCTAGGTATTACAACAAAGGCTCCAAACACTAACCATTACATAGAGCTAGATATAAGAACATACCAGTCTGCGCATCAAACGTTCAAAGCACCAGAATGCATCTGCTTCATCATCAAGAAGAATAATCATTGGAGAGCAAAGATCACTCATTCCTACATGCCAACATGATCATATGTATTAGCATTAAGACATTTAAAAACATTAGTATATAGATATGAAACACATTACAACCACCAGTTCAAAGACATCAGTCATCCCCTCCCAATGAGGGAAAGTGAAGAAAGTAATGGTCTTGATTAAAAATTCCAAAGGGACTTGAAACACAGAAACAGTATGTTGATCACTCACCTTGACAATAACCAACATCCTTATCTATCCAAGCATAAACTGCCAGAATATCCCAAAGCTTTGACAAATTTTCCTGTTTCTCGTAAAATACTAATGTCCTGTCTGTGCGAACCACATCCAGACCTACATAATCATGGAAGGAAAGGATGTCAAGAATATAGCTAGAAGATGAAATCACTGATCAAAACAGCTCTAAAAGAATCCAGTTGACCAATTTTTATGAGCATTTGCAAAGTGACTGCCATGAAGATAAAATATTCATCATTTTTTTTTGACACGCACAGATTTCTGTGAGCTCAAAAGCATATATAGTATTGCACTAAGAGACAATATAAGAAACCCAAGTGAACATGTTATCAATGCCACGAAATTTTATTATCCTACTGAAATTTTAATAGTGTGCTTCCATAAATGTTCCACATGAGACCTTCTTAGCCATACCATATTTATTTCTTTTCTTGATTGATAGCAGTGAGTGTAGTGCTTAATTGTATGCATATAGGTGTACTGAACATGCACAATTCGCATTATAATACCAAGAAGAATAGTTTCACATCCATTGCTACATCAGTTGTTTATTGCTGATGGAACAATTTTTTATCCTCATTACTTGGTTCCATGGTTGTCTTTTTACCAATAAAAGCTGCTACCTGAAGTAAATGATAAACTTAAAAATCAATGATGTACTACTTGATCTGGGTGTGATTTCTGTTAAGAACTCAAAACTCTGGTTAGAACTCTGTAATAGTTAACATTATCAATTTTAAGGGGCTCTTCTATGTTTACAGCCAGATAGCAAATGCTTAACATTCACCATGTACAAGTGGAACTGAGCCACAATGTTTACCAATAAATGTTCCACAAATTCTGAGGCTTTACAACGAGAATCAAATCTCATGCTAATAGGTTTGATCATTTAGATCAAATAGTTCACAAGATGTACAATGAAACAAGAATAGCTTTCATAAACCTTTCTCAGGACCTATATGGTCTGAAGTGTGAAGGATGGATTCAGCCACTATTTGAGGGACAAACACTTTCTTCATTGATCATCTGAAGCTTTCCACGCCTTACCCTGCTCGAACATAAGATATATTTTCACGAGACTAATATTTTATGATCACATTTCCTTGTTATGGAAAGACAAAACCATGGTTCAGAAGTCCGTAGTATGTGGGCCCCTGTGCAAAGTTATCATGCGCTGCATCAAGAAACTCCTCATTTCCAGGCTGCCCTGCATTAGTTTCGGAGGCGACAGCAACTGTAAAACAATTGAGACATAGGCCTCTCCATTTGTTCATCTCTGAAGAAATACACGGGCATAGTGGGCAAATCCATCTCAATTTTTACAAGTTTCTAATGCACGGGAACATGTGATGTTCACATGTTTTATGAATATATAGTTTTATTCTCCAGGAAAAGCACTGGTCATTTCTCTTTTCTTATTTCAACTACCAAAGCTTCAAGAAAGAACGAAACTTAATTGTCTTTCTCTTCTTTTTTTGCATAGGAAAGCATTAAAATGAAATAAAAAGAGAAAGTTACATGATGTGAAGGAACCTTCCCTGTAGGAAATGGCACAAATAATATACATGCAAAAATATATGAACTTCAATCAAAATCCAATAAGGACATAGTATACCTTCTCTTTAACATTAACAGGTTGTAGAATCATGGCAAGCTGATCACAAAGCCCTTTAAATATTGTAAAATTTGACGATTGTCATCTTTGCTTGCTTGCATTGCTGAAGTGTAATCTTCAAGTGCATCACACATGCCTCAGACTCCAGTGAGGATTCATGTAACATCTTCCACAACTCTGTAACTATGGGCATTCGAACAACATCTATCAGTATTTATTCTATGAGAGTTGGCACTGGTCCATCTGATGAGTTACTGATCGATAGCAACCCATTATCCATATGCGAGGTTTGTGAAGGAGACTTCCTTCGCTTTCCCAACCAATCTCATTATTGATAAAGATGTCTAGAACCCTGTAGACACTGGGCATATGGTGCAACCATGGAGCGTTTGCAGGGGTTATCCCCTGATGAGCTTAGGGAGATGCCAAGGGTGATTGGCCAGGGGACTGTTTGAATCCCTTGATGAGGTTGGAGATATGCCAAGGGTCGTTGGTCAGGGGATTATGTGACCCCTACGTGCGGATGGCAAGCCTAAGGGGCATGGGCCAAATCCTCATCAAACCATCGCACAATTTGGACATACGATAGCTGTCTTGGGAAGCAACCAGTGGGGGTATGACATGCGTATATGTTGAAAGATGATGCCTAGACCATTGCAACAATGTGCATAAGTCCTATGGGACTTGGCTTGACCTAAGGGGGGGGGCTGTAATCCATGGACTAGAACTGTGTTCTCTTCACTTAATAGCTGGCATTGATGGATCAATTATGAACCCTTACGATAGGCTGTGGATCATGGTTCCATTGGGCCAGTTTGAGAAGATGACAGCAGTTCATGGTTGTTGATATAGATGGAGTGCCTCAGTGAACTCGCACGTTCTTTGACCCAATGGATCCAATTCCCATTAAATTTTATTTAAATATATTTATTTGAGTTATAGAACATTTCAATGAACTTTTAAAATGCTCTGTATAGTTTTTTTCCTCAAAACAAATTTTTAGATAGCTAAAAATTGGTTTTTCAGAATTTTATAAATACAAAACTATTTTCAAACTATTAAATAGATTCTAAAAATCATTTTATTTATTCTAAAATTGTTTTGAAGATGTGGGGGGCCATTTGGGATAGGAGCCTACACTTGGAAGCCCACTTTGTTGGGGGGCGTGGGGCCCACATGGTTCCCACATAGGGATCCACGCCCCACCTCTCTTGTCTCTTTCTCTCATTTTTGTGTATTGACTTGATGACCACGTCTTCTAGAAGGGAATCAAAATATTTAGTGAATATTGTGATTGAGAGAAAATAACTTGATTGAATTGATTTTAGATAGTTCTTCCATATCTCCAAGTTGCCAATGTATTGCATATTTTGTTTGGATGCTGAGCGCTTTTGGGTAACCATCCATGTTTTTGGGTCTTACTTTATTTTGGATAAATTATAGATGCTTTTATGACTCTGGCTGGGAACAACTTGGTGAAATTAAAATGGACGTGGTAAAATTATTTTCAAAGATTAAATCCTTGTTTTAGAATTTGAATTGGTAAATTAAGGAGCATTTGTATTCAAAAGACTAGATAGATATGTTATGTTATAGAAAGACCCCACAATCTTGCAAGGTCCACCTAGTTTGTGAGAATCAAATCAATCCACCTAGTTTGTGAGAATCATATCAAACCGCTGAGTTATTTTAAAACTTTTCCTTGTGAACTTGTACAAACTCGACAGTTTTTTATAAGAAGGGAAAAATATTGAGTCTTGAAATTGTTTTAATAAAATGCGATATGTATCATTTGTAAGCGCATCGTGGTTGCACCTGTTTTAGGTACCCATATGTCTTACTCATGTTATTCAATACCCTTTTGTGAAAGGTTACAACCAAGGTTACAACCAAGGGGCAAGATCACTTAGTTGTGTGGGTAAGATCATTGAGTTTGTAAAAGGTTACAACCAAGGGGCAAGTTTAGTTGAACCTTTGTGGTTCGAAAAAGGTTTGCATATTGCAAAACCAAGCTAAGAGTTATTTTGGCATGAGGCTTGCTAAACAAGCTCATGGTATGACCATGAGGGCATTGAGATAGTAATTGGTATATGCGAATTTATGTTTAAGGGGGACTTACTGCATATCCCACAGTTACTTTTGGATGCTCGGATATTCAGACATAGAGATATTTAGTTATGAACCGCCAAAGGGATTCAGATGACTTAATACCCCAGTTGGAGTGCTCGTTTATGATTGGTGGAGAAACCAAAAAGTCATTGTGGTACTGTTCACCATGGAGCCTGAAAATGTGGTCATGTTGTCTAGTTGTGACAGAAGAGCGATGGTTGAAGAACTTCTTCAAGCTGCTAAGATGCGACCCATGAGATGCGGGTATGTGAGGATCTTCTGCAACAACAGGTTGGTGATTTGCATTACCAAAAAGGTTACAATTATATAAGAAGATCAAGGACATCAAGACAAACTACTGCCATGTTCGGGATGAGATCCAAGTAGCAGAGATAGAGGCTTTATATCTCTCCCGCAAGGGCTATGATAGTGGATCCTTCATGAAAAAATTGGTGGCGTAAAAATTGTGAATATTGTAAGAATAAGTGACATGGGCTTGAGAGAGACTGTAATGGGGGGATGAGAGGTTCTACGAGAGACAGATTGTAAGGCCTTCAAACGCTAAGTGGGAGATGTTGGGGTTATGTGGTCATTTAAAAGCCTTAGAAGAGCATGTAAAAAACTTGTGATGTAATGATGGGAGTAGGGTCCGATGGGACCAAAGGAGGCATTTTGATGTCGTAACTCATCACTTGGGCATGACGACTTACGCATGGGTTGATGGAAAAAACCTTGTAGTCCTGTGCATGTGTCACAATCGTGGATGGTTTGTAGGATTATCCCTTGATGAGGTCAGAGAGATGCCCCTGGGTGGTTAGACAGTGATTGTGTGACCCCTGTGTGCGGATGGCAGGCTTGAGGGGGCCCAAATCCTTATCAAATCGTCACACAGCATGCATAGATGATAGTCGTCTTGGGAAGTGACCCGTTCAGGTATGATATGACATGTACATGTGTTAAAGAGACGACCCCCCACACAATTGCGATAGTATGCGCAAGTCTTATATGTTGGGTTTTGTGCCCAGTAAAGGACTAGAGAGCTTGTAACAATGATAATTTATGGTTGTATGGCCCTAGTTATATCTAAAACCCATACCCCTGGGCATGTGGTACTACTGAGAAGTGTGTACAGTTCATCATCCCTTGTGAGGTTGGAGAGATACCCAAGGATGATGTTTTGTAGGCCAGGAGAACTGTGTAGCCTCCTGTATTTGGTTATAGGCTTATGATAGCAAGGGTCAAAGCCTCAACAAACTTTTGCACGGGATGTACACATGATAGCCACATTACCAGGAAGCAGCCTATGAAGAGATACGTGTACATGTGCATAGAGAGAGTCCCTTTTGGACTGTGGTGATAAGTGCTTGACTTATTTTGAAAGGAAAAAAAGTAATCCACATTCCAGGATCATGGTTCCACTGCTGATTACCCAACTTTGACAAGCCAATCATGGGTCCGTGCATTGAGATGTGGGTCATGGGTCTTCGTCGGGTTGGACAAGAAAACAATAGTAAATCATAGTTCTTGGGTCAAGTGGAGTGCCCTTATTGTCGCTAATGTTTTACCCATTGGTACCAGTCCACTTATAAAATATTTTATTTTGGTATTAGAAATGTTTTTATGATTTTTACCAATTTTATAATTTTTATGGATTCGATGCAATATTTATTATAGCCCACTACAAAACCCAAGGTTAAGTTTTCCTCCAACCAAGGGAGTTTGATGCAAGACAATAAGGTCATTATTTCTATCGATTGCCTATTAAATTTCAAGGAATGTATTTTTTAGATTTTTAGGGTTCACTTTTAAGTTAGGATTAATTAGCTTTTATTTGAGTATAGCTGAGATGAGGATGTTGAGATGGATGAGTGGCAAAACAAGAAAAGATAGAATTCGAAATGAACATATAAGAGGGAACTTAGAGGTGGCTCCAATAGACGATAAGATGAGGCGATAAGTAGACTTAGGTGGGCTGCCCATGTGCAATGTTGATCTAGAATAGCACAATTAGGAGGTGTGATTTGGTTCAAGTTGAAGGCTCTAAAAGGGCAAGGGGAAGACCCAAAAGATACGGATGGACGTAGTGAGAAGATATATGGTGAGTTGTGGTCCGACTGACAATATGGCCTTTAATAGTGCAGAATGGCATAATAGGATTCATGTAGTCAGCCCCAAATAGTTGGAATAAGGCTCGAATGACGACGATGATGATGATTTATTGCAAGATGCAACAATAATCTGGTAGGACAAGAAATTCATGAAAGGAGAGAGTAACAACCATTAATCAAGCCCCATAGCTCTAGAACTCAAACATCTCACTAAAATTTCAATAAAATTTCCATCCCACTTAAAATGGACAGAAAATAATCTATTTGTAATCATATAGAACCCTAATGTTCCAATGAAATCCTAGGAATCTATTCCTAAGCTTGTAAATTTCACCACAAAGGGTCCATACCAACAAGGAAACTCAACTCAATCCTAATTACCCATAATTTAAGTATTCCAACAGAAATACCAACTTCAAATGATATATAAAAGTTGTCAAATCATAAATCCACCCCCAAACAATTAAGTAAAATAAGAAATGCAATTAGTCCCATTAAGCCATGATTTGAGGACCAAAACAGCCGAATTATGAAAAGAATTCAGAAATAACATTCGTAGATAAATAAGAGATCTTTGAAATGCAACTTGAAACACCACGATCAGACAGACAAGTGAAAGGTTGTGCTCCTTGGATAATGGCTGCATAATTAACCCCTTTTCATAAAGAACTCAACCTCAAGTCAACATGAGATCCTTCCTTTTTAAAATTGATGTTCTACATGCTTTGCATACTCTTTTGTACGTTTGACTTCACTTTTGGTAGTTGGTGATGCAGAAAACATTCACCTTGGTTTCCTTCATTGGATCTCCATATTATAATATCTTTTGCATCTTTAAGTGGTTGAACAAAATCCTTCATGAGCATGCAACCACATAGAGATGAAGAAGAGGTGATCAAAGAGATCTGTGCGATTCAAACTTGCAATCTGAAAAGACACCCGCAAATGGATTCTCTTTTGAAAGTTTATAGAAAAAATATCCTTGAGGCATCGGGTAGTCGGCAGCAATCTCATGCATCTCATACTTACCAAACATGCCTCCAGAATTTGCAGATTCAAGAATCACCAAATCCATCAGTTGATCCAATTTTTGAGTTAAGTCTACCATCGATTAGCAACTCGGGTCTTGAGGAACTCGTGCAGCTATCGGAAATTTAATCTGGCACCATCGAGCATGCTCGGACACCACTTTAATATAGTAATACTCAGGTAAGGCAAGAAACTCTCGGAGGAGGGACCATTAATCGAGCTCCATAGCTCTAGAACTCACAAGATCCATTACAGTTTCAGTAAAATTTTCATTCTCCTTACAACAGACATATAACAATCTATTTATAAGAATACAAACCCTAAAGTTCCCACAAAATCCTAGAAATTCATTCCTAAACTTGTAAACTTCCCCACAAAGATATCCTAAGGAAACTCAACCCAATCCTAATTACCCACAATTCTAGGACTCCCATGTGAATCTAGTTAAGGTGGGGATCACATAAAATACTAATGATGCATAGATCTATGTCTTAGCATTTCTTGTCAAACTCCTCCATAAGGAGATATGCTACTAGCTTCTTGCCTTCTGCGATGGTTTGATGAAGCTGAATCCCTGAGAACAATCCTAAAGGATAATTACTGATGATGGAGGAGGATCTGTTGATGCTCCACATGGAAGGGGGGAGGGAACCTGGTTTGTTGGGCGGTCACTCTTCCCTCACATCTTTTATCTCTGTCCAGAATGGTCACTCTTCTCTCCCGCAAACCACAAAAATTAGAGACAAGATTTTATAGAAAGAGAGGAAAAAAGGTCAATGGTATTCCAAACAAGCATCCTAATTCACATTTTCTTTTCACACGTCCAAATTCTCTGTCTTCCATTCATTTTGTTTTACAAAGAATGACACTATTCATTGCGTATTACTTTTGGTTATTGATCTCCAGGGAACACCCCCATCCTTGTCCATTGGACATACAGGGAATCTCCTGCACATATGGCCAGTGAGACTTCTGACCTTGATAGACACCTTCAGCAGTTTAGCAAGCACTTCACTTATAGGCCTGCTAGCCAAATTTGTTGTACGCTATCTGGTCAGAGCGATGTGGTATTGAGTTCTTCAGATGAAGTTTATATATGATGTTGTTCAATCCTGTCTTCCTATATCAAGGAATCTCTAGATAACAATACGAGTAATAGGGGCTTAGAAGAACTCAGTTTTATCTAATATTTACATAAAATAAATTTAATTAACACATTCATTAGTTCATGTTCCATTGGTGATGTGAGTCAATCAATTCTATCCAATCTAGAAGCCCAAATTGGCATTTAAGGGAAAGAAACAATAGCAAGTTATCAGAGTAGAATGCTATCACTATATAAATTTTAACCAGTATTTTTATGAAATGCTGGGACGAACAGGAATTATTCAACTTGACCATGGGATTGGTAGCTCAGCGATCCAGTTTTGGGATGGCCTGGAATCGCCTGCCACCATGTTTCATTCATTGTTGCTATTTTTCCCAATTCCTTACCAATTTATCAATCCATATATATTCATTCCAGAATTATCTTGATCGATCATGGATAAAGATATTGGGGTACAAATATTTTGCAATGTTGCAGTCGTACTAGATATCCTACATACAAGAAAACAATGGGCAATTTAAGATATGGTACTCGAAAGAATACGCATTATGCACCTAGTCAGATAGACTTGAGAGAACTATGCTTCTATTGATACCGTAGGCATTCAATTCATGGAAATATATAAATAGATTCAATGTGTCCGAAGATTTCAAGTTGGAAGGAATAGTACTTGCATCGTTTTTTTTAATTTATTCTATGAATGTTGACCAATGGCCCTTAGGTAAGACTTCTATTATTTGCCCTTAGGTAAGGCTTTTAATATTTGCCTCTAGCTAATGAGGAGTGCACTAATATTTTTGTTACATGCTATTATGTATCTGCTTTTCTGTGACAAATCAGATGCTATTTTGGATCTATCTGCAGAACTGATAAATGGAATTGAATTGAGGAGATAAAATGTAAACCAGGAAAAAGGTAGAAATCTAACAAAACCTACAAGCTTCATAGATTAGATTCTTGGGGTCGGTGAACATTACCCTCAAAAACTTCCAATGGAGTTATTACTGAGAAAACAATATTCTCAACAGTCATCAATATGACTTAGTGATATTGTTCCCCCATTAGGAAATGTGGATAAAGATGCCATACGGCAAATTTATAACTCAGCCACATATAAGCACTCTTTGTTCATGCTGTACTTAGGTCATTGGAATGGTTATGCATGTTCCACATTCACCTGTATATTCCAAATAAAAGATGCCACGCTTAATCAGAAATTTCAGCAACCATATGTGACCGCGAGCATTGATGGAAGATGCTACTCATGCATCATGTCATTGGAACCACAGTCCAACTTCAGCCAGCAGGTACTATAATGATATTTCTCCAAACCCTCTTAAGTAAACATCTAAAGAAGATGCCACATAAGAACACAATCGGCATTATATGGTCCCTAACTTCAATGAATGGATACTGTAACATTGCATCCCCAGACAGCTAGGAAGAGCACATATAGACTAAAAGCAGGGATATTGAAATAACACATGCATGTTATTAAACACATAAGTTATACAAGAATGAATTCTGAATTGACGGATTAGCAAGAATCAGAAAAGTAACATATATTGCAACTACAATGTCCCTATAGATTGTTGTAGTACATTCTAGTAAGTAATACCTATTTGATGTAGTGTAAGCTTCCACTGAATCACTTTCTTGTCCAAAGGAACAGTACTTGCGGATCCTTTCCTCTGGTCCAACACACTTGTTGGGGGATTTTTGCTCAAATAATCAAATAATGTATTTGCACGTGTTTTATTATCCTCAGCATCAGAGTTTGGACTGTCATTTTCTTGGAAAGGCAAGTCTTTACCCACATTAGCTTCCAAAAGTACTAAGGGATCTTGAATGGGATCGCCATCTTCTGTAATTATAGGTGCTGTAATGATCCTCCCACTACCAATTAGTGAGTCCATCTCTTGGCATTCCGCTTTCCATCTTGCATATTGTGCCCTGGAGGATCAAATATAAGAAAAAAGGAATTAAATTGCCATATACCTATAGATCGTTAACGTTGAACACTTAAGCTATCTAACAACATGAATTTTTCATACACATTAGTAACCATCAATAATTAATTGAGATAAACATAGAAGCAAGTCCAAGAAATATTTACATTGATTTGGTTGGAGGTAGGCAATGAAAGGTTTTAAATATAAAATATGCTTTAAAAATAGGAAATTGTGAACATAAGGACAAGGCCTTTGGTTCCTTTAAAAATTAAATGTGAAAGAGCACCAGCACTATGTATACGAGCCGTAGGGTGTGATCTATAATAAGTGAAAAATTTTCATTAGAACAAAATAGCACAACACTAAAGTATGGTATGAACATGGAATTGCTGTCTTTATGGAATGAGTCATGTCTATAACCCAACCATTCTTAAACAGGCAGGTGAAAAACTGTCTTGTTATATTAATCACGTCAGAAAAATAGCTAATTTCTCGTCTAGATCTCATTTCAGATTTATCCTAATCCCCAATAGTTCTTTGGATAAAATAGTTACTGCACACTTGAAATTTGATGAAATGGAAAAACACAGTCCACATGGAAATAAATTATGCTGGAACCAAGATAAGGGAGAGTTGGTGTAAGCTGTGGGGCTGTTTAGGAGACAAGGGTGAGGGCAGATGATATAGAAAAAAAGCAGAGAATTTCATGCCCACAAAGAACTTTAATAAGAAAGAACCCAAATTCAGGGTTTTGGAAACTATAAAGAGTGTCCAATAATAAGAACAGGAAAGCACAAGAAGCCTACTACCTTTCCCACTACCAATGGTCAGAGGAGAAATACTATTATACTTGAGGAATATTTGTCTTCGCTCAGTACTTCAAAATAATACAGAATCAACCACACATGTTGATATGGGAGCCAGCTTATCTACATGGGAATAAAATCTGAAGTTCACCCTGTAGGGATCGACTATTCAACTTTTTCTTCCTTTTTTCTGTTTTTCTTTTTTTTTTTTTTTTTTTTTCTTTTTTTTGGGGGGGGGATGGGGGAGAAACCACACATGGCAAAACAATAGGACCATCTTCATTGGACGAGCTAGCATCATTGACTTATACCATTGGGATGGCCATAGCTTTATCATATGAATTTGTGGCTCATTGAGGTACTTGTTGAATTGAGAGCACATTTCAAGAGATCATACATTTGGAGAAGTACAAAGTGGTGGATATTCCTCACTTGCACAATCCCTCACTTGCACAATGCCCAGTTCTGCATGCGGTGGATGGCCAGATGATTTGCCATTTTTAGTTGTTTTCAGATTGGACTGAGCACCTATTATTGGCAAGGTTTAGGGGACGTTCACTTGTAACCCCTCATCTTGGGGAAACATATCATGATCACAATTAAGAAGACTTATTCCTGCTTGCAGATGGATCTGATGGACAATCGTTTCCAAGCCAGTGAAAAGTGTTTTGCAAAAGCCAAATAGGAGTTTCTAAGATCTTAATCATATGTACCTCGTAGATAAAAGCAGCCAATGAAACTAATGATATTTTTCATTTGCCTCAATAGGTATTAAACCCATTACTCATTGTATGAAATATCTTCTCTAAACCAAGAAATATATAGAATCACATTCCTAGAAGCAGAACGCAATCGTATCTTCGATTATCTGAGAAGTCACTTAACACTATATTAACTAAGGGGATTGATTTTATGCATGTATGTTGACTTTAAAAATTAGTAGTGGATTTATGTCCATTGCACGTAGATATGCAAGGATAAATAGAAGAGCCAAATATTCAAGGCCAAAAAGATCTGCTCGGCGGAGCTTTACGTACATGAAGCACCTATTAGAGAATAAGAAATATTTTAATACAATAAAAGGTAGGCAGAATTATAATAAAAAAGTAAAACTGGGAGAAATTGATTACTCTTCATAAAAAAATTTAAAGCTAGTCATAAACAATTTCTTAAAAATAATGCTAAAAAGTACTTTAATATTTATACCTCAAAAAAAATTTAATAAATAGCAAATAAATAAGCAATGAAATTTAAAAATTTGACATTGGAAAATATAAAAGAGTGAAAGACTAGTTTTATATTCAAATATAGTAAATAGAAAAGAGCACATAAAATATGAATAACACAAATAGAATGGAAAATATAAAATTATTTTCTTTAAAATTCATAATAAAAATGATAATTAGACAAATTATTTCTTGAAAATTAAAATTAAATAAATCTGATATCTGTAGTCAAGACAACATTATTATTTTCAAGGGAAATTTTCATCAATAACCTATGTATTTTGAGGTACTCAATAATTATAATCATATATTAAGTAACCATAATAATTTTTTTGATAAGAATATTTACTATCAAAAATATTATTATGATACTTTATAATTATAACAAATTATTATTATATTTAATTATTATATACTTATATCTACAGTTGTCATATAGAATACTATCTCTATTATAATAAAACTTATATTTTAATGATCATTAAGTTATATTTACAATTCTATTACATTAATAAGCCACAATTAAGGGCTGGACTCTTTTTGCAAGAATAAAGGAGGGCCACAACCCTAGGGAGAATGTAGGGAAGGTGCTCCAGAAATAGTAATGACTTTGGGTAAACATTGTTAGGTGCATTTATATGTTTTAAACGAAGAATCTCATATTCTTAGAACAGAGAAAGTAGTGGTTATTTTTCTTGTTGATTTTAATTTTTTTCGTCTTGCATGGTTTTTTAAATGTAGGGTAGAGAGTTTTTTTTCTTTTTTTTTTTTTGGTGGGGAGGGGGGCGGGGGGGGCTGTTAAGAATAATAGGAGAAATATCACATGCAAATTTTAAGAGGCCCTTAAATAAAACTTTGAGAAGTTCTCTCTTTCAATGTTGCAATGTTGCTCTTGGTAGGCCGTAACTCAAACAAATTTTTTTCCTAAAATTTACGAGAATCCATCTAGGGCCTCCTTAAAATTTTTAATTTAAAAACATATGTTTTGAAAAATAGTCTAAGAAGGCCAATGACCTTAAACTTTACCTCAACCCGTCCCATGTCCGAGTAAAGGGGCTAGGTTGTGTTAGGTAGGCAGCCAAGGTAAAATTTTGCAAAAACTTATCATGAATCCTGAACATACAGTTTCTGCTTATGCAAGAGCGTTCCCCAGAAGCAACGCGCTGTAACGGAACTCGGATATAGTGAGAAATGAGTAAGGGGTAACTAGGGCATTCCTCAGAAGCGACACAATGTACCAGACCCCAGGTACAGTGAGAAATGAGCAAGGTTTAGCTAGGGTTTTCCCCAGAAGCGACGCGTCGCAGCACCGCCCGGTTGCGGTAAAAAATAAGCAAGGGTTCTCGCAACATCCTAGACAAGTGCAAGAAAAGAAGCAAGTCCAAGAAAATAGAATTCGTTTAGCCACATGGAATGTAAAAAATCTTACAGGTAAGAGTATGGAGTTAGTGGATACAATGAGACGAAGGAGAGTAAACATAGCCTGTCTACGGGAAACTAAATAGAAAGGAGAAAAAGCTAAAGAAATAGATGGTTATAAACTTTGATATACAAGAAAGGATAATAATAGAAATGACGTAGAAATAATAATAGACAAATATTTAAACGATAAAGTAGTAAATGTCAAAAGAATAGGTGATAGGCTCTTATTAATTAAACTTGTATTAGGGGAAGAGATAATAATCGTAATTAATGCTTAATGCTTATGCACCACCAGTAAGATTAGATGATAGACTTAAGAGACAATTTTGAGAGGGGACATAGATGGAATAGTCCAAGACATAGCACATGGAGAGAGGAACTTTTTAGGAAGGAACTTAAATGGTCATGTAAGAAAGGACAGTAGAGGATATGAAGGAGTACATGGGGGTATGGGTTTCGGGAAGAAATGAGATGGGTGAGACTATTCTAGATCAATGTTTCAAAAAGCACTAGGCGGCACCTAGGCGGTCGGGGGGGTCTAGGCCGCCCAACGCCTAGGCGACCCAGTAAAAAAAAAAAAATTGGGGTTTTTCTCTCTCTAAAATAGCTTCTAATGGGTTTTAGGTTCATTTGAAAACTAAAACCCGCAATTTTACACCTTTAGTATTAAAACAAAATGACCCAAAATGACCCAAAAATGGCCTCAACGACTGGCATTTCCGACCCTGGGCAAGGCGTAAGCCCGGGGCAGCCGCCCAGGTCCCCCGAGAATACCAGCCTAATTTGGCCACCTAGGCCTGGGCGATGCACCCAGGCTTTCTAGACCGCCTGGGCGAGCCGCCCAGGTGCTAGGCGATCCGCTTTTTGAAACACTGTTCTAGATTTTGCTATGGCCTACGACCTAGCAATAGCAAACACTTACTTTAAAAAGGTATTGAGAATAAAGAAAATGTCCGACGAATGGAGGAAAAATATTGTGGTAACTATTTACAAGAACAAAGGAGACATACAAAATTGTGCAAACTATCAAGAAATCAAGCTTGTGAGTCATACTATGAAGCTCTGAGAGAGAGTTATTGAGCAACGACTAAGGAATGAAATGAGTGTATCAGAAAACAAATTTGGTTTTATGCCAGGAAGGTCAACAACTGAGGCTATTTTCCTATTTAAGCAACTGATTCAGAAGTTTAAGGCGAAAGGAAAAGACCTCTATATGGTCTTTATTGATCTAGAGAAAGCTTATGATAGAGTACTTTGATATCTAATTTGACGGGTGTTGGAAAAGAAAAGAGTTTCCAGACACTACATCAACTTGATGAGAGATATGTCTGATGGAGCGCTAACTAGTATATATACGAACAACTAGTGGAGAGACGAGTGAGTTTTCAATGACAAGATCTACATTAGAAATCAGCATTGAGCCCGTTACCTCTTTGTCCTAGTTATGGACAACTTAATTAGGCACCTACAGGATGAGGTACCGTGTTGCATGTTGTTCACAGATGACATAGTTTTGATCAATGAGACCCGAAACGGCATCAACACAAAGAACTTTAGAGGGATGCTCTAGAATCCAAAGGTTTTAAAATTAGCCGGACTAAGTCAGAATATATGGAAAGCAAGTTTAATAATAATAGGTGTAGAGACGAGGAAGTAGTTAAGATTGACGGCCAGGAAGTACAAAAAAGACCGCATTTTTTATATGTTGGGTTGATAATCCAAGAAAATGGAGAGAGTAAGGAAGATGTCGCACACAAAAATAGAGCTGGGTGGGCAAAGTGGAGATGTACAACTGGAATTTTATGTAATCATCGCATACTAATGAAGCTGAAGGGTAAGTTCTATAAGACAGTTGTGAGACAAGCTTTGCTCTATGGGGTTGAATGTTGGGCAGATAAAAAAACAATATACCCATAGAATGAATGTAGCGGAGATGAGGATTTGAGATGGATGAGTAGGCAAGACAAGAAGGGATAGAATTCAAAATGAATCCATTCAGGAGAATTTAGGTGTGGTACCAATAGGAGACAAGATGAGAGAGAGTAGACTTAGGTGGGCTGGCCATGTGTGTCAGCGACCACGTACAGCACCTGTCAGGAGGTGCGAGTTGGTTCAAGTGGAAGGACTTAAAAGGGTAAGGAGTAGACGCAAAAGGACATGATTGGAAGTAATTCAAAAAGATATAGGAACTTATGGCCTCACTGAGGATGTGGTCTTCAGTAGAGCAGAATGGCGGGCTAGGATTCTTGTAGCTGACCACAATTAATTGCGAAAAGGCTATGATGATGATGATGATGTTTTTCAAAAGAGAGAGACCGACTAGGACATTTTAATAAAAGTAAGAAAAATCTAAAAAATATTTAGGAGATATAGTTGAAAGAATTCATTATAAGTGAGAGGCACCTACCATGCTATAACATTAGAGAAAGAGATCATTTTGAAACCATTTAGGGATGAAAAAATGTATTTTAAGTAGAGAATGAGAAATCCTTTATTTCCTTCACAGACCAATTTTAGGAGAAAGGGAAGAGTTTCCATAAAGCTACAAGTAGAGAGAATTTAAAAAATGAGGGAAGGGAAATCCATAAAAATAGAATGTAGAGAGATATCAAGAGTAGAATCACGTGGGGATCCAAAACTGACCTATATGTTTATTCTTCAAGGTATATTCTATATTTACTATTAAATATTATCTATTAAGGAAATATTTTGCACGTTTACAATTATAATTATAATTTACAATTCTAAACTATAATGCAATTATAGTTAGAAAATTATAACTATCAAAATGTATGTTATGTAACAATCATAATGTAATTATAGTCAGAGCGGAATGGTAGAACATCAGTTGTGTAGCTGACCCCAAATAATTGGGATAACGCTTGGATGATGTTGATGATAATGTATGTTATACTAAAAATATTTTCAATATTAAAACTATAACTATTTGTAATAATATTAAAATTCGCCCAATTATATTTTAGTAATTATAATTAAGAAAATTATAAATATAGTTAACAACTATAATTACAACAATGTATTTTAATTACAACATAATTTATTATCACCATCATCTTCAGAGCCTTTTCCCAATTATTTGGGCTCGACTACATGAATCTTGATCTGCCATTTTGCTCTATCAAGGGCCATACCTTAGTGAGGTCATAAGACCTCATATCTTTTCTCGCTACTTCCAACCGTGTTCTTTTGGGCCTACCCCTTGCCCTTTTTTAGCGTTCCACTTGAACTAACTCGTACCTCCTAACAGGTGTTGTACTGGATTTACAGTGCACATAGCCAACCCACCTATGTCTACTTTCTCCCATCTTATCGCCTATTGGAGCCACAACTAAATTCTCATGTGTATTCATTTCGAATTCTATCCCTCTTGTCTTGCCACTCATTAATCTCAATATCCTCATCTCAACTACACTCATCCTATGGTTATGTTGTTTCTTGACCGCCCAATATTCTAACCTCTAAAGAAAAGTTGGTCACACAGTTGTCTTATATAACTTGACCTTCAGCTTCATTGATATGCGGCGATCACATAAAACTCCAGTTGCACATCTCCATTTCGCCCACTCATCTCTAATTCTATGTGCAATATCTTCCTTCTTAGATTATTAACCCAAGCTATCGAAAGTGTGCTCTTTTTGGTATTTCTTGACCGTTAATATTAACTACTTCCTCACCTCTACTCCTATTATTACTAAACTTGAATTCCATGTACTCTGTCTTAGTCTGGCTAATTTTAAAACCTTTAGATTCTAAAGCATCCCTCCAAAGTTCTAATTTTGTGTTGACACCTCTTCGGGTCTCATCGATCAAAAAGAACATCCTTCCAATCCGGGTTCGGACAATCCAGATCGGGTATCGTCGGAGCTGTTTCAGATCCGTTAGTAAAACGAGATCCAACCGTGTCGCTACAGTGAATCACTTATATGGCATCACGAATCAGACACGTTACTAGTCTGTACCGGTACTGACGTCATGAAACCGATCTTAACATCAGCGAACAGGTTCTAACAATAACCCTTTTTTAAAAAAAATTGAGTTAAACTTTTTTTTTTAAAAGCTACATTATTTTTTTTTCAAAATTTGAGGCGGCCCACCTTTTTTTGAAAAGTACAAATATCAACCACAGGCCCCGTGGTGGTCATATCAAAGCATTTTGCAATTTTCCCAAGCACACGTGGATGAAGCTATCCTACTTTGCACGCACATGGCTTTTATAAAGCCTTTGTCTTCCTAGCTTTCCCGATGTGGGACTTTTTCCTTCCCTTGCACTAAGTTCAATAAAATTGTCATTGGAGCAACATAGTAAGAAATGCTTATTTGTTGCTCGCGCTAAGTGCAAAATCAATTCCAGGTGTTTTCAAAATAAAATGTATTTTACACTAAGTGCAAACCACAACCCATAGTTATAGTTATATAGTTATAAATATTAATAATACTATTGATAAATATGATTATAAATTTAAAATCAATCAAAATGATTTCACATGTAATACGGTTGGCCTTCTTTTATGAAATTTTAATTATGTGAATATGATCACATTAAAATTAGATTAATACTATTATGTCGAACGAATATAATTATGTAAAAATTGTTAACTTATTTCTTATAATTATGTTAAAATTGTTATTACTATATTGAAATTTTTTTTCCTATAAATAAATTAAAACATCACATAATTTAATATATTATATTGCTATGTTAATTAATAAATTATTATTGTTATACAGATTAGGATGTGGTTTCTATAAGGTTGCAACCTTAAACAATCCAATTAAGGCGCACCTCTAAATTTTATCATGATATGTAATTTTGGAGTAAAAACTTCTTAAGATTATTTTAAAATCTACTTTCATATCTAATTATAAAATTTTAAACTCTAAAAATAGTTAAAACCAAGTAGATCTATAAACATATGAAAATCTTGAAAATAGACGGTCTAGATGATGTGTTGCAAGATGCACTATTTTTAAGACTCAAAATCTTTTTTTTTAATATTCATAGATCTCTATGCCAAGATGATCAATTAGAGAGTTTTCAACATTAAAACAACTTTTTCTAACAGATTTTTGAGGTGCATCTTTAATTCTACATTTTAAGGATGCAACCTTATATAAACTTTTTCCTATAGATTATGTTGTTTTCATATTTAGTATAGACTGTAATTTTAAATAAATATATCTATAACTTTTACAAATATTAACAAATAACTTATTGTTAACCCTCTAATAGTAAGCATGGTAGGCTCCCCCTCACTTAGAATCTTTTCAACTCTCTTTCCTCTTGAAAGAAATCTATTTTTCCCAAAAATATTGGAAGGCCTTTCTCGCTCTTAATAATATGACATAGTAGGCGCTCTCTCTTTCTCAAAACATATGTTTTCAACCTAAAATGTTAAAAAATTTCTCCTTGTTTCAAGGTCATGACTGGTGGACAGTAGCTCATCTTTATCAAAACTCTCTTGAATATCTAATATATTTTTTCCTAAAAGTTATGTGAATCTATGTAGGACATCCTAAAAATTTATGTGCGATCTCTCTCTCTCTCTCTCCTTTTATTGGTAACCTCTCTCTCTCTCTTTGCCCTACATTGAAAAAATTCATGTGAGACAAAAATAAAAAAAATAAAAAACATTCTAGTAGAAGATAACTCATATCTCTCACTATCCTAAAATATGAGATTTTCTCTGTTTAAATTACACATGACAACGTTCAACCTAAACTCCTTATATTTCTAGAGCACATGTCCTACGTTCTCTTTAGAGATAGGTCCCCCTTTTATTCTTGCAACACATTGAGGCTTAACAATATAGTATAGATCATAGTTGTCAGGATCTCCCAACGATCCTGCTCCAGAATCTCACTCTAGCACTCCGGAAAGGTATCGTTATGGGATCTTGATTTTTAAATCTTTGAATCTCGATCTCCATTGTTATGGATCCCCGATCCCACTATTAGGGAACTTGATCACAATCTTAAAGATCAAGATAACAATTAGATTGATGATTTTCTTACTTTATAGCTAGCTAACAACACCATTATTCTTTTAATGCATTGCATTGCTTGCTAGCTATAAATAAAGAGATCTCTACTTTAAAGAATATATATAGTCCTAGATTATACACAGGTTAAAATTTGGAGCAAGATCCCAAAAGGTTTGGATCAAGATCGTAAAAGGTCAAAATCAAGATCCCAAAGAGGTTGAGATCTCAATCCCTAACATTTGGGGGATCTAGACCTCTAAAATAAGCACTGTATGAACAGCACTCCGAATCATACGGATCTTTTGCCATTTCACTGTCCTCCGCTCCCGGTCATGTTCCCGATCCCAAAAACTACGGTTTAAATACCCCTGGTTCTAAAATAAAGTTGTCAAAAGGGAGGAACTTCACCACAATCAATTCAAGGCAAAGGATCGTAGCTGTTAATGAAACAGCAGGAATAAATATTAAAGCCAACGGCAAATTGAATTAATATTAAACACAAAGACAAATACCTTCGATGTTGTCTCAGATGGTCACGTTCCTCAAAGGTACTCTTAGGATCAAAACATCCAAGCAAAAACTCCCAAACTTCGCCTCTGATTGATGGGTGTATACCCTGATTGCATCAAAATTTCAAATACAGCCTCCTTGGTCAGGAAAATTTAATGTAGACAGCAAAACTAACTGTGTGATTCAGAATTGGGGAATTAACCAATATGATCACTTGTCTGAGGTAAATTTAATAAGATTGAAACAATGCAGTCATTAAATTTCAAGATTTTAGGTTCTAGAATAAATCTCATTTCAATCAAGTATATTATGCTGGAGTATATTATGCTGGACTAACTGGCAAGGAAAAGCAGGACTGTTCTGCAAAGATTGACTTTTAAGTTCTTTTGCATACATTTAGGTGCAATGATAAATGCTAAGAAACTACAAATTGGGACCAAAAAGAAAAAAAACTTAATGCAGTCCTAATATGCAATTCAATGCATAGTTTCCACATTTAGAGATGGAAGCTTCTAACACCAAAAGCAAAGATGCAAATTCCTGATCTTTCGCATAAAAGAAGCAAAATTCCTAATCTTTTAACAAATTCTCAATCATGAAATCCCCTAGTCTTCTCCTTTCAAATTTAACTTTTCTTGTAGCTTACATATAACTTGTGATCTTCTTATAGTTGCAAGAAACAAGAGGTCGATGTAAAAATAGATAAACAAAACAAAACAAAAAAGAAAAAGATTTATTAAATTAAGCGGAAATTAAAAAGAAGCTGCCAAGCCAAGCTTCTGCAGCTCTCTGGTCTACCACAAGGCAAACAATATCCAAAACTCTTTTCCAATCTCTCTCTACAAACCCCTATTTATAACAAAACTGTAACTTAAACCACAAGAAAACCTTATTTGAATTAAATTGAAACTCTGAAAAAAAAATTATCCAAAACTCTTTTCCAATCTCTCTCTACATACCCCTATTTATAACAAAACTTTAACTTAAACCACAAGAAAACCTTATTTGAATTAAATTGAACTTCTGATAAAAAAAAATGGGAAAATTACAAAAAAAACCCCAAGACCACACTTTATATGCAACTTACCCCAAACCGAACTTTTTCTCTCACTTTTTCCCCAAACAAACTTTCTATGCAAATACCCCCCAAGGGAAGAAGTTCATTTTTTTTAGACGGAAATGCCGTTCCCGTGCACAAAAATCATTTTCGACATTTGACGTTGACTTTTGGACCCCAGTAGCACATTGCCGGAGCACACCATCACATTGTCGGAGCGCACAAGTGCCGAACAGCTCTTTGCAACTGCCAGACCGCCTTTTGCAACTGCCGGACCACCCTTTGCAACTGCCGGACCGCCCTTTGCAACTGCCGGATTGCCCTTTTCAAATGCCGGACCGCCCTTTTCGATTGTCAGACCGCACTTTACACAGTGCCGTAGCCCTACTGCTGGCTAGCACTTTACACAGTGTCGGAGCCTTACTGTCGGACCGAACTTTACACAATGTCGGAGCACTACTGCCAGACCGCACTTACATGGTGCCGAAGCCCCCTATTTTGGTGGGATAGAGGAGAGAGAGGCGTGGGTAAGGTAAAAGTAAGGGAAGGTAGTTTAGGCATTTTTTTGTTTTTTATTTGGTTGAGGGGGTTTTGCATAGAAAGTATAGTTTGGGGGAAAAAGTGAGAAAAAAGTTAAGTTGGGGGTAAGTTACATAAAAAGTGTAGTTTTGGGGGTTTTGTAATTTTCCCTAAAAACATATAGTGCAAAATGACATTTTTACCCTTGAATAAATAAATATTTCCACCATTGAGAGAATAAAATAACAACCCTAACTACTTTCCTAAACTATCCCTACAAGACTACTGAAACCAAAGAACTAGCTTAGAAATACAAAAAATAAATTTCTTAATCCCAACAACTAAAACTCAAAGAGAAACCCAAATTTGTCCAATGTGCCAACATCATAATCCCCTTGCTGGAAAACAAACTTGTCCTCGAGTGTTGAAGAAGGCTAAAATAATTTTGCACCTAATCTAAAATCTCCTTCAACTTTCTAAGAGTATAGGTGGTAGGGAGAAACCCTTAAGAAACAGATCATGATATGTATGTTAAGGAATTGATACAAAAAATATCAAATTAAATTTCCTCTAAATTTTACACTAAAATTTCAAATGCTACTTTCTAGCACTTAAAGGAACATTTTAGCAAAATAGACAAGCAAACTGCCAAAGTAGGTTTAGTCATCGTATTGCTCTGCAATAGCTTAAAAAAGAGTGGTCGTAATAGATTTTGATTTAAAAGCAAAAGTTAGCCTATGGAAGGAGCAAAGTTCAAATCCATGACCCCCTCTCCCTCTACCCACAGATGATGTCAATTGCTTGATGCCCTTCAAGACACCCAGTTTTGTGGGTCTCCGAGGGATTTACCACTTTGAATGTGGTTTCCATGCTAATGCCACCAGAATCAGCCCTAGAATGAACCGAGGAACATCCTAGCAATAAGCACTTCTAGCACTTAACTCGTTGTCCAAACTAGCAACCTATTGATTCTTCTTGGAGCCCTAAGTCTCGTTCTTCATCGAGGATAGGATCCTCATCAAAAATAGGCTGACCGTCAAAGATAGGATCTCCCACGAGATCAAAGAGTGGTGTGTCCACTTGAAAATCAAAACCAACTTGTTCTTCACTTGCTACTAGTTCTACATCAAAGATCGATTTAATCAACATCAAAACCAACAAAAAAGCGATCCTCAAGGGGAAGATATTTGTTGGGTTTTGTGGCCTTTATAGGCCTAGAGAGTTTATAAAGATGATAATTTATAGTGGAATATGGACTTTATGGGAGTGCGTGTTGACTAACTATGGGATGGGTGATTTATGGCCTTGGTCAGTCCAAAACCTTTATCCCTGGACATGTGGCTCTACTGAAAAGGGTTTACAGTGGGTCAACCCTTGTTGAGGTCAGAGAGATGCCCAAGGATGACGTTTGTAGGCCAGGAGAACTGTGTGGTCGGTTGTGTGTGGTTGTAGGCCTGTGAGAGCAAGGGCCAAAGCCTTAATAAATTTCCGCACCGTATGTACACATGACAACCGCATTACTGGGAAGCAGCAATATAGAGCGATACATGTACAGGTAGGTACATAGAGAGAGCCCCATTTACACTGTGATGACAAGTGCTAGATTTTTTCTTAAAGGGAGGAACTGAAATCCACATTCCAAGATTATGATCCTGCTGTTTATTGTCTAACTTTGATAAGCCAATCATGAGCTCCTGAAATGAGAGTATGGTCATAGGTGTTCATTGGGTTGGATAAGAAAATAGAAGTGGATCATGGTTTTCTAGGGCGAGTGGAGTGCCATTTATTGTCATTGTTTTTTACCCATTGGTACCAGTCCACCCCTAGTGTATTTTATTTTGGTATTATAAATGTTTGTATAATTTTTAAATATTTTAAAAATTTTAAAATATTATTTTGATTGTAATTTTCATCAAAAGAGTATTTATGAAAATTTCAGAACTTGAAATAACACATGTAGGACCAAGGATCCAATCCCACATGTGTGTGTATATGTTTTATGTGTGGGCCCACGTGCCCCTAAGGGGGCCACGCCACTTTTTTTAACAAAAAAGGGGCACGCCACCTTTTTAGCAAAAAAAGGGCCACGCCACCTTGTTTTTAGCAAAAGAGGGGAATGCCACCTTTTTAGCAAAATGGGGGGCACGCCACAAATTTAGCATAAAGGATCATGCCCCACTTCTTTTTAATTTTGTTTGAATTTTAAATTAGTTAAAGTTAAGAAATCTTTCTAATTTCAAATAAGATTTGATTTCCTATTCTATGGGTGTTTTTAAAATTCAGATTATCCTTGATTATAGGTGACCTAATTATGAAAAAAAACGATTATATTTCAATTTTAAATAGGTGCTCGACATGGGTCAAAATCGAACAGAAAAAGTTTTTTATCTTTCCACCTAAACTCAGGATGACTAATTTGTAGGATGGATGGCTCTGATTAAATCTCTTTCACCCCACAGATTTCCTAAATTATCCGAAAGATCTATTTGGAAATTAGACATACCTATGGAAATCCTATTCAAATTGAGAGATATATTTCCTTCTATTTAAACACCTAGTTTGAACCTCTTTCAAACACAACAAGATCTCTCTCTCTCACGCCCCAATGCAGCAAGGCCTCTCACTCCCTCACACCATCTTTCTCTCTTTCGTATCAAAAAAGGTCACGTCCCTCACTTGCCTAAGAGAGAGTCACGCTACTCTCATTCTCTTCTCTCTCCTTTTATTTGAGTAACTTCTATTAAATGGAAAGAAAAGGAGGAACTTTAAAAAAAAAAAATGGTTTATTGTATTTTGGAGAAATGAAGGGAGACAACCAACCTAGAGAGAGATCAACTCACTAGCCTTACCCTAGTTTGTTTCTATAAGGTTACTATAAACCCTAGTTGATTTTTTAGCCCTCTAAAAACCCTAGAAAAAGAAGTATTGCCTGAAAAGCTTCTCATCTCAAAATTCCCATCAATACTTAAAAGAGTAAAAGTGCACCATCGGTCAGGGAATCGAGTGTGGGGTGTACCAAGACCTGTGAGGGTAACTCCAGACAGTAAGTACTTCCAGTATTTTTAATTAATTTTTCAATATTATTTCATATTTTCGGTGAATTTTTTAGAACTATAGTGGAAGTTTGTTTCAAGCTCCTGGATAGTTTCTATTTCTTTTGGCAGTAAAAATAAAGATCATAGGTCGTATCTAGAGTATTATTTTAATTTACACCAACATATAGTGGCCCATACAAGTGGAATTCAAGTATTTGGAATAAAAGTAAAAGTAATTTTTTTGAATTTAATACCTTGAGTTCCACACACACCTTTCAATATTCACCCCTCCACTAGTTATGAAGTAAAGCTTCACGTTTTCTCTAGATATGGAGAGATTTCTCATTAGTCGACACAAATCTTTAGAATTCAAATCCGACACTATTTTGAGCAATCAATACTCGATTAGAATAAGTTGGGTGCACCTGGCCACACCAGTTCCTCGCCTTCAATTAGAACGGCTTTGATGCAACTCTCACCTCAATTCCTTGAATC